TAGGAATAGACACGGAAGAAATAGACGAGAGACAGGTATAAAATGGTGAAGAAATTCGATGATAACTTAAAGCAGTATAATGTGGAGAAGGATTACGAGTAGAACGCGTACCTTTACGAAGGGCAATAGGAAGGTCGGACTACGTGGACATAACCGGAGGAGGCGAGTATTTGGCACCGGGAGTGAGTCATGTGGCGTCTGTTGTGGGCGAGGTCTGCGACTATAAACCTGAAGGGGTGGTGGAGGAGGAGGGGCTAATGGTGGATGGTCCTCAACATAAGGATCAATGAGAACAGGAATGGGAGCTGTAGCGAGATGGAGACTCGCAGGTAGGGAAGGGTCCTTAAAGTAAAAGGAAAACTCATTGAAGGTGACATCGCGAGACACAAAATAGCGATTAAGAGAAGGAGAAAAACACTTGTATCCTTTTTGGGATCGAGTAAATCCTAAGAAAACACATTTGTGTGATCGAGGAGATAACTTATCATGACCAGGATCAAAATTGTGGACAAAACAGGTAGACCCAAAAACCTTTGGAGGTAAAGGATGGAGAGTGTCATGAGGAAATAAAATAGAATGGGGAATTTTGTTATCTAAAACCGAAGAGGGCATACGATTAATAAGATAACAGGCAGTAAGAATAGCATCACCCCAAAAATGTTGAGGAACCTCACCATGAATTAAAAGAGTACGGGTTGTTTCAATAAGGTGTCTATTCTTGCGCTCGACCACCCCATTTTGTTGAGGGGTATAAGCACGGAAGTTTGATGAAGAATGCCATGAGAAGCCATAAATTGTTTAAACGAGTTTGAAAGATATTCACGGCCATTATCACTTCGAAAAGTTTGAATAGAGACACCAAATTGATTTTTAATTTCATGATAAAAGTTTTGGAATATAGAAAACAACTCAGACCGATTTTTCATTAAAAATAACCAAGTACAACGAGAGAAATCATCAATAAAAGTAACAAAATATTGAAAACCTAAATTAGACTTAACACGACTGGGTCTCCAAATGTCAGAGTGAACTAAGGCAAAGGGAGATGAAGCACGCTGGGAAACACTACGAGAAAAGGAAGTACGACTATGTTTGCCTAACCGACAGGACTCACACACCAAATTGGACAAGCTGGGATAAGCTGGGAACAAGTTGTTGTAATTTGCGCAGACTGAGGTGACCAAGCTGAGCATGAAGGAGAGAAGGAGACTCCATAACTGTGCCAACATGTGGAGAAGGTTGAAGATAATAAAGTCCATGTGACTCACATCCGGTGCCAATCACTCTTTGCGAGCTCCGGTCCCGTAGGGAAACGAAGTTTTGGTAAAAGAGATAACACAATCAAGAGATCGAGTTAGACGGCTAATGGATAATAAGTTAAAGGGGGACCCGGTACATACAAAACATTATCAATGGACAACGAGGGAAAAGAGTAACCGTTCCAACACCATGAGCTAAAGTTGTAGACCCATTAGCCATTGTAACGGAGGGTAAATTATGAGAAGAAGTGAAAGAGGAAAATAAGGATTTGTTACCAGTGATGTGATCGGTGGCGCCTGAGTCAAGAACCCAAGGGCCAATAGAAGAAGAGTGAGTCGGACCAAGCAAAAGATGTACCGTGTGGGCAACGAAGTAGTGGAACTGGAGGGCTTTCGATCCTCATACCATTGAAGAAAATCATTGAAGATAGCAGATTTGTCCGAAGGTACGGACGAAGGAGGATCCACAGCAGAGGATTGTGCGGAAGAATCGGTCCGAGCAAGCTGCAGACAGATCGGCGAGGATAACCATGTAAAGCATAACATTTGTCAATTTTGTGGCCTAGTTTGCCACAATGGTCACACTTGACACGCCCTTTGCCTGGCTTGTGAGAGCGATTACGATCATCACGGTGAGAGGCCAAGGCAGATGAATCATTAGAAACTACAGGGGGAATATTGAGAGGTTTACATGGCACCCGCAAAAGGGAGGAACTGGTAGCGGTAAAGCTGGGTGTAACAGGGGAACCCAAAATGCAGTCACGAACGAGGGCATATTTATCGGCAAGTCCGTGTAACATCAAAACCATGAAAAACTTTGATCGTTGCTCTAATTCTTGGGCAGGAGTCGAGGCGGGGGTAATAACTCATTAAATTCATGGAGAAGAGCATGGATCTTACCCACATAATCCGCCACAGGATCCTTATCTCGAGGAGCAATAACATCAAGAAGATTGTAACAAACACCATAAAGACGTTGAGTGTCATTGGTGTATAATAATTTGGCTTGTTCCCAAACGTCATAACATGTGCCATACGATCGAAAAATTTGTTTTAAAGAAGATTGGATGGTATTCTTGAGAACCATACATATATGAGCATCAACTTTCTTCTAACGGACACGATCATTGGAAGGAACATCATCTACCTTGGTAGTAAGATGATCAACATACCCCTGACTCTCAAGCCAAAGTCTAATATCAGATGCCCAAGTTGCATAATTCGTACCATCTAATTTATCAATGGGTAAATTCACATTGACATAATTAGTAAAAACAGATTGTTTTAGACCCACCGGAGTCGACGGAGGTAACTTCGAGTGGAAGTGGCAGCGGAAGATGCCATGGAGGAAGAGAGAGAAAAACCCTAAAACACCAAAGAGGTCCGATTGGAGTAGCGAGGACAGATCCGGAGAGAGGAGAAGGAGGCGACGCCGGCGCAAAGATCGGCGGCTCGAACGGCGGCGAGACGCGCCGCCACGCGCGGCGGAACGGGAGAAGGTGGCGCGGCTCGGGAGCGTGGCTGCTCCAATGACCGCGAAACTTCCACGGTGGAGGTCGCACGGAGGAGGCGAGCAAAACCTCGTGCTCGGCGGTCCGAATCGCTACTCTGGCGGCGGCGGACGGCGGTGGCGGCGGCGATGGAGGCGGCGGCAGCTGCGGGTTCGATGGTGAGCCGAAAAAAATCCCAAGAGACCTTAAGCTCTTGATACCATGTTGAATATAGGGAAAAACTGTATAGGGTTAATTTCCCTTGTGTATTTACCACACATAGGGCAGTGTATTTATAATAAAGAAAGGTACTCCTCAAAAGAGTAACAGAATACAAATAGGGTAAATAAAAAGATATTATTTGATATTGTGATTAACAATATCTAACAATATCTCAACAATATCAACTAATATCTAATCATATCTAACAAATGCATTCTAGGAAATAGGTCTACAACTAATCTCATAAATGCCCAACAAGATACACTTAATCTAATAAATACTTCAACATCCACCAATACCAACTGATAGTGTTTCATTTTGCAAATATGATCCTTACCCCACAACTCTGTCTGGGATAATCTTCCCCCTCCTATGGTTTTCTTGTTATCTAGTTTGGTCTCCACTCCTCAACTCAAATTTATCTCCTTATTTCCACCTCTTTCCCATCTCGTGAAACCACTATTAGATCGGACCAGCCCTATATCAATTCCCTTCTTCTCTGGATTCCATAGTCCCGCTTTTCGCAAGGCCACATTCTTCTCCTCCAGTAACATAGCACGGTCCATCAACTCCTCTAATGTGCCCTTATCATATAATTTCAACTCTGCTTGTATTTCTTCTTTCAAACTATTGAGGAAAATGCCCTTTAACATCACCCTTTCCTCCTTCTTCAACGGTGTTGATTCCCTCTCAAACTTCTCTCGGTATCGCATAACCGAAGAGGTTTGCCGGATCATAAGCAGTGACCCAAAAGGGTTCTGCACCAAACCCGGTTGGAAATGCCGCACCAACGCACCCTTGAACTCCTCCCAACTGAGTTCTTGGTTCTGATCTTCCCACCATTGGTACCAGCTAAGCGCCCTATATTCCAGGGCTATCACCATCGCATCCAGTTTCTCCTTCTCTTCCACCATATTCAACTTGAAGTACCGTTCAACACGGATTAACCACCCATAAGCGTCATCTCCCCTGAAGATGGGTATTCGCAATTTGCGCCCTCCAAAATCGCATGAAGATTCTCGACTCCAGGAACTAGTAGAATCGCTCGCATCGTCCTCTCCTTCCACTTCGCCGTCCGCTGCCTCCCGCACCACTTTCCGGCGGTGGGAATGCCTCTTTCGTGGTCTGCTCGAGCGAGACGATTCCAAGCTAGAACCAAGTTTTTCAACTTCGCCAATTGTTGCTCCAACCCATTGATCCTTTTCTCCATATTGTTTCGCGTCAGTACCATGCACTCCAGGATCGAGTGCGTTGATACCAATTGATAGAGACAACAGAAAATCAGAAGAATAGTAACATATATGAATAAAACAGTATTATTATTGTAACTCGGCTCACGGAAAACAGAGTAGAAAGAAAGGATTTCCTTCTACGTAACAATGGTCCCAATTTCCCAATTCCCAGTCCCCACACGTCCTCCCCCTCCCTATATTCTCTCTCTCCAATTTAGCAATTCTGTTACGATTCCAATCATTGGGTGTGTGTTTGTGGACCCCACAAAATGGGTTTCCGCATCTTCCTGTCGTAAACCTTAGTGAATTTCCCCCTTTGCCCTTGTTTCTCTATATTTATGTTTGTATCATATATTTTCTTGCGTTAGTCAAAATTATAATCATGTATTCATTGTTGAATCACCTTGGCTTGCTTGAACCTTAGACAAGTTTTCCTTGACACTGCTTCCTGCTTTAATTTTCTGCATTTACCACTATGTCCTGTACAGAACTGACACCTACTTAACCCCGTAGTTCTTAATTGTTTCCACAGTGAGGCAGCAGTTCCATGTTTACTCTAACTCTGCTATGTTTTCTGGATTAGCACAACACACATTTCTCTGATTGACTTGATTGGCAGTTGCAACATTTTGTTGTTATCTTAGAAACTTTTTGGGTTGGAGCAGATATTATAGTGTCAATTTAAAATTATTTGAATATGTTGCATAATATCTTAATTCTTTTCCAGATCATGTTCAATACAATTTTCTGTATGTTTTAAGGTACTGATAAGTTATATAGAGACTGCTGGAAGCACAATGACTCGACAGAAGGCTCTCAAAGAGCAGTACCTATTCACTTGTACATGTCCCCGCTGTTCTAAAGTGGTACTTACTATATTACTTGATTTGGGATATCTGTTTTTAGGTTTTCATATATTTCCTTAAAATTAGTATGCTTTCAATAGCTAATTTAGTAACGTTAGTTTTGAAGGGCCAGATTGATGATATACAAGAAAGTGCAATTCTAGAAGGATATAGATGCAAAAGTGAAAAATGTGGTGGCTTCTTGCTACGAACAGCTGGTAGGTGACCTGAATAATAAATGTTCAAGTAGCTGAAGGGGAACATTATAATCTTTTACTGGCTATTGATTTTGTAGTCTGATGGTACATTGGTACATCATCCCTTTATGAACAAGAGTGAGATCAAAGATAGACAACCTGCCAGGTGCTTTTATGTCGTTCTTATCAATGACCTTGTTTTTGTTTTTTAAATCTACTAAAATTGAAGATGGGAAAGGATTCCAATGCCAAGGTTGCGGACTAGTCAGGGACAACGAGGAGATAAAGAACATTGCAACTGAAATTAAATTGCTATCTGAGGAAGCAACTTCTAAGTCTGCTTTCTCTTGCAGTATCCTTTAATATTTCTGTAAAAGACGTATACTTGCCATAGCTAGTGCTTAAACTTTTCTTTCTCTCCCTCATGATGCCCATTGATTCATGAGCACATAAAATTGATTTGTAGTTAATGTCCATGTTGTCAAATCCTTGACTAAATGTAGATTATAAAGAAGTTATTTCCATATATAAAAGGATTGAGAAACTGCAAGCAAAACTCTATCATCCTTTCTCAATTAATTTGATGAAAACTAGAGAGAAGATTTTGAAGGTAAGCTCCTTGTAGTTCTCTATCTATTCTACTCTTATTCCTTTATTACTATATCTTGCTCAACCTTGCCATATGTGCTTTAATTAGCACAATTTTTTAGGATTTTGTTTCAGTGCATGCAAATCTTATTTGCAGCTTTTAAGTTCAAACAAATTCTCTTGATGTTGTGTGGTCAATATAATATTACATGCTAGTTAATTAATATGGATAACTCTGCAAATACTATACCACAGGTCTTCATTACAAAAGGAGCCTGTCACCTTCATGTGTATCCAAAGTTTGCCTAACTGATCTACTTATTTCTGTTAGTAGACTCATTTAGTCATTTATTAGTTAAAGCACCTATACCTGTCTTCTGTTTTATATCTTTAGCATAAGGAGCATGTGTTACATGTAAAAATAAGACCGTAGTTCATTGAAGCAATACATGTTTCAACTCCGGATAATAGATAAAAAAAATTTACATTTTGTCCTCTGCAGTCATTGATGGAGCTGGAACACTGGACAGAAGCTTTAGCATATTGCAAATTGACCATACCATTTTATGAAAGTATGTTATAGTGAGTTTGGTGGATTCGATGTAAATGACACATAATGATATTACATAACGTTGATCTTCTTTTCAGTACTTTCTGTCGTTTTGGAAGTTGTATATTTTGCTCTTCAAATTTTTGTTTCCCTTTTTTTTTTCATTTATTCCTGGTTGAATGAAAAGAAAATATTCTTATTGTTAACAATGGTGTCACTAGGTATTCTAGAAGCAAACCAGATGAAATCTAAAAGGAAAAAAAAACTGAAGGTTGTAATTTAGGTGTTAACTAAACATCCTATAACATTTCGTTTCCATCAAGTCGTCAAGGTTGTACACATGATATTGTGATGAAATTTATTGATAGGGACAAAAAAAATGGGGGGAGACAAAACATTCACTTTGCTTAGTCTGCTAAAACTAACCATTCATGTTCTGTTTGAAGAAACGTTCATAATATATTGCTAATTGTAATATCCATTCCTGGACAATTTACTTTACTGCAGAAGTGTATCCATCTGTCCACCCTCTGCTTGGCTTGCAATATTATACGTGTGGAAAACTAGAGTGGTAAGCATCTGTATCTGTTTAACTAAGGTTTTTGTTAAATTATTTTACGTAGTGAAAGCATTTATGGGGACATAAAAGATCTTATTATTTTCTCGTGTAAATAAATAACATAGAAGTGTTTCTATGTATGCATAACATATTAGTTTTGTCGAAATTGAGTTTTGTCGAAATTGAGATTTTACTTAGGACTGAGGGATCAAAAGATTCTAGTACAAAAAGACATTTATTGGATTTTTTTGAGACAAATATATTTTTAGGGAATTACAATTTTCATTTCATTATTACTTTTAAGTATGTAATAATTTCTTCAAAAAATAAAATATTTTATTGAAAGTTAAAATTGTGAACAAGTGTAATAAAATAGTTAGAGGGTAACATAAAAATTAAGAAAATTAGGTGAAAAACAAAAGAAATATATTAAAACAGTAAGGAATAAGAAAAAGAAGAAAAAAGCTACAAGCTAAAATGGAAAAGAAATATATAAGTGTTGTTGTCTGAGCCTAATTATTTTGATATAGGTATTTGAGAGAGACAGAGGAAGCTGTTAAATCACTGACTAAGGCTGTGGATATACTACGGATTACTCATGGCACAAGTACTTCTTTCATGAAGGACCTGTTGATGAAGTTGGAAGAAGCCCATGCTGAAGCCTCGTACAAATTGTCTTCCATGGACTAGAATTACAAGTCAATTTGCAAGTCTGCACAGTGAGTGACATGAATCTCAACCGGGTAATTGTTAGTGTGGCCAAAGACATGAATGACTTGCTTTTCATCTTTTCTGGGGCTGTAATGTGTATGTATTGGTATTCCAATCTTAACATTAATCTGAAGGGAAATTTTGGCACTGTTTACCTTTTTAATGGAAAGTTAATTTTGTGTTCGTGTTGGGACGGGAGGAGTGTGTTGCCCCTTTTGTGTATTGTGGTTTATTTTTTTCATTTGGAGAATCATATCGGATCTTCCATAAATGTTTTTGATCACGAAAATATGTGAAGTAACTTGTGGAATTGGTTTGGGTACTTCTGGTTTGAGCTTTGGTTATGGGGTTGGGGCTGAGGTCATGGTTATAGGCTGTCAATCAGGCTCATGTCAGTTTTGGTTTTGGATTGATCACCTCAACATGATAACTTATGTAGTTGGAACGGTAAAAGGTAAATGATAACAGTGGTAGGTGGCAGGGATAGTTGTGTCAGTGATGTAATTTGGAGTAGCAACAAGGGTGAAAAAAAAGGTTTTCAAATTTCTTTTTTTCCTTATTTTATTGGTAAACATAATCCTGTTCAACTTGGAGAGTGGATTCGATGGACTGGAAAAGAAGTGACGAGAGTGAAAAGCGAGGCTATTTGTACGGAGGAAAAGAGAGTAAAAAATAAAAATAGATGATTAGAAAAAAAATAAAGAAAAATTATTCAAAAATTATGAAAAATGGAGAATGATGTGATTAAATACAAAAATTAAAATAATAATATAAAATATATAATGATCATAATATTTTATATTGATAAGAGATAAAATAAATATAAATTAAAGTATAATATAATTTAATATAGAATAATTATTTTATATTAAATATAAAATTTTGATATTTAATAATTTCTTTTTTATAAAATATAAATTTTTTTAATATTTTTTTCGAATGTTTAAAATTATTTTGGATTAAAGAAAAGTGAAAAATAAAAAGAAAAGGAAAGAAAATTAATAATTAATTTGATTAATTTGAAATAATAATAAAATATATTAATAAAATAACTTATTAAATTATTAAAATATTCTTATTTAAAATTTATAAAAATAAAAAATATATGTTATAAAAATAATTAATTTAAAAAAATAAATTTTTTAAATAAATTTAAGATTATTAATTAAAAATTAGGTATACAAAATTATTTTAAGTACTAATTAAAAAATTAAATATAATAAAAAGATTTATAATAAAAAATAAAATCAATAACATTATAAAATAATATATTTATATTTAAATATAATTTTACTTTTATTATAACAAAAAATTATAAAATGACTATAAATATATATATATATATATATATAATAAATATTTTTAATATAATCAAATTATTTACATGTACATAATCGATTATACACATTTATTTATTTATGGTGAATTTCAAAAATTTTATGATATTTTATAATTTAATTATAATAAAAAGATAATTAATTTACACATGATTATATATATATATATATATATATATATATATCTTAATATTTTTATGTATATATTTATTATTATACATATTATTATTTAAAATATTAAATTATACAAACTATTTAATAATATAATTATAGTATTCCATTTATTTTACAAAAATTATAATATAAATATAATTTAAAAAATAGCAGTATAAAAATTATTTAAAAAATATAATATAAATAAATTATTAATCTTATCTATTATCTTAACATAATATTAACTTGAAAAATAAACATAATTTATTAAAAATATTATTAGTTGATATTGTTTCAGAAAATAAAAATAAAATATTTGAATTAATATATATCATATAATTTATTATCTACTCTTAATTGGACATAAATAATTTTTATTTTATATCTCTTATCTTTCTTTACATTTTTCTACAAATTAAAAGGTTATATGTATTGGATGAGCTATTATTATTTCCTCAAATCAATTCAAATTCAAATATACAATCAATATAAATCTACACCTTCATTTCCCTATTAAGAATAAATATGTTAAAGCAAAAGGCTAAGGTAATCTTTGGCTTGTCATCTCATAAACAGGCCAGAGTGAAAATTGAGACTCGATGTATCAAGATTATTAAAAGTAGATATTTAATAGCACATTTCCCTCTCTTTTTTATTATTAGTATTATCAATAGCCAATTTCCTGTCGATAGCAACAATTTGGGAAGGCTGTGGGAAAAATAAGAGATTTTTTTTTTCTTTTGAAAATTCACATTAAACTTTCCATGTTTTAAAAATCCAATTTGACAAGTCAGGTTTATTACATTTTTTTTCCAGTGCATTCATCTGTAGCACCAAGAATGGTGTTGCCATAAAAACCATACTCTAATTCATTAATTGGATGATTAGAACGCATCTGCGGAACCTGGCGGTTCTGTGTCACTTCACAGAATTTCACAAAATTTACACAAAAGCCTGTCCTAAATTCACTTGCTACACATTATGGCCCACTCTGAATAATAGGAAATACATACAATAATGACACCTACAAAACTGCCAACCCACGAAAAGTACATCAGAGCAAATACAAAGACTTCTCCACACCTGAATTTTGGGAAGAAAGATACAAGACAGAAAGCAATAAATGAGATGTGATGGTAAAAAATATAAGGGATAGAGAATAGAAAAATTGGGATTGGAGAAAATATTGCAAAAAACCCAAAAAATACTGACCATCTTACTAGCTTCTTTCATCACCTACTTGTTTTCAATATTTGTCAGACGTTCATGCAGCTGAATACATAGATCTGACATTTGGGACAGCAGTTTTAGTTGTTGATCTCGTGAACTTAGTGAGTGAGTTGTTTTATCGACAGGATCACTAAGAAGGCGTTGGAGCTGACTACACAGTTGAGACACTTCCGGGTCATATGTACAAGTTTCAGAAATATGTTGTAGCAATTTACAGCTATTATGATCTTGGGGCACTGATGGATGATATGGTATAGGAGGAACGAGAAATGGATGTTCCAGTAGCTGAGGTATTCTCCACCTTAGATTGCGATCCCATGTTAGACACCTCATCATAAGATCCAAAAGCCAAGGGTTTGAAACCGGTTCATATGTAATTTCATAATTTGGATCTGTTATCACTTTGAATTTGGCCCAAAATGTCTTGTAATCAGAGAAAGGTGTTCTCCCGTATACCATTTGATAAAGGATGCAGCCCAGGGACCAGATATCTGATGACCGGCCACACTTTATGACGTTTCCATTCGCATCAGTCTCATTACACATAAATGCCTCCGGAGACATGTAACTTAGTGTACCCACCTACAAGAATTTAAAACGGTATCAGGACAAATTTAATATTATAGTTAGTTTGACATCCCCTAAAATATGGGATGAAGAGTTCAAAAAAAAAAAAAACTTAAAATCTTACCTTTTTTAAAAAGAAAAAAAAAAACTCAATCTAAATATTTCAACAATTTTCAAGGAAATAACAAACCTTTTCTGGGATGTGTTTTTTATTTTTAAGCCTGGGAAAATAAACGTCATTTCAGTCTTCTGATTATCTAAGGATACTTAGTTTGGTAGTGTATATTTGTAAAATTTTACTCAAATTAATTGCCACATTTTTCGATTTCCAATGATATCTATCTTATAATGTTTTAACTACTCAAAATGAACCTATAAAAATACTAATGAAATTATAATATCCAGCTGAACTAAATGCATCCGTGGACCTGTCTTATTGAGGATCCAATCTGTGTAAGCATTTAATCAGTTTACATATCAGTTTCAAGGAGGATTGAACTGGTACCATCTCCAAAAAAAAAGGCAACTCAAGTTCTTACAGTAAAATCCCATGATTTGGTAAACCAAATGTTCTACCAAAACTGATTTTAAACAAGACCGTAAGATGACTAAAATATCTAAACTAAAAGCTAAAATATTTCACAATTGCAATAGCCAATATTTGTCTTTTAGAAATCATTATAATTGATAGGAAAAACAATTGGACTTAAGGTTAAAAAATCTTTACCTTGTCATCACAACCAATGAGGGGTCATTTTCATCAAACATTTATTGAAAAATGTTTTCAAAAGAAGTCGTCTGAAATTGTAAATATTATGTAAAGCAGAACAAACCATAAATGCAACGGAAGGTTATATATATAAGTTAATCACCCTCAGTAAAACCACTTAATGCAGTTCATACATCCCTAATATGCAAGAGACGTTCATGATAAAAAAACAGCCTAAAGAGGTACGAATGACATGCATCTCAATATGTAAAAGTAGAGAAAGAGGTGGAAATAAGCATCACCTGTGAATCCCGTTGGATGTTGGTTGTGTCATTCATTATAGCTTTAGCTATGCCAAAATCAATCAGTTTTAGGGAACCTTTGACAAGAAGGAAGTTAGCTGGCTTCAAGTCTGAGTGCACAATACGTTCCTCGTGAATAGTGTTGACAGCTAGAAGAATTTGCTGCAGAAGTTATCAAAAGAATAACCTAAACTAATTTACATGCGCAGATATATAAAAAAATCATTCCAATTTCCAAAGGAAATGGATGAGTAAAAGAAAAAGCAGTTCATAATCATATAATGGAGAAAACAGGTAAGAAGTGTGAAAGAGCATCATCTCAAATCTGATTATTAACAACAATGCTTGGAGATTTCAGCTGTACACCCCACACCCACCAAAAAAAAGAGTGCAACTTCTTCAAATGTTATGTAAAATCTGAGGAATTGATTAAGTATCCAGAAGACATAGAAGCAGATTGGATAAATTGTATGTTACATTACAGTCTTTTCAGATAATACAAGCACCAAAATTTTTAATGATTGATGAAAGGGAGCAAAAGTAGTCATACAGCAGCACATGGATGATGGAAGTTCAAGAAATGAAAAAAATATTTACAAGGATAGTAGATTTTGAAACCTGCCAATAAAATCGAAGCCAGTTCTCATCTATGGTCTGGTTGCTTCCATCCAGTTCCTTCCACTTCTGAGATAACATGTGAGCCAAATCGATTTCCCCATATTCAAGTACCATGTATATACATCCATCATCCCTGACCCGTCCGTCTTTATTACTTAAGGAGCCTTTTATAACTTCCTCAAGCAATGCCTTGTCTGTCACCTAATTACAAAATTGACTAATTGAATGAAAGTAAACTACACTATAACGTACGTAAAGTAAAATTGTTTCCATACACTACACAAAAAATATAACTCAATGGAAAATCCTTTTTTCTGTAGACAACCCAAGAGCACAAAAAGTGAAAAGTATGCATACATAAGTGATTATATAATGTAGCCTGATCCTCAGGCATTCCAGTGAGATATGAAGCAGAAATAGCTAAAAGCAAGAACAGCAAAGTATCCTGACATAAAATTTTGATTGACGATAGTACCTCATAATCTATGAGCTGTATGATGTTATCATTTCCCTTCAGCCTATTCAGATATTCAATTTCTTGACAAAACCCAAATGCAGTAGCATAATCACGACCCTTAAGCTTTATCTTTTTAAGGGCATATATCCTACAGTCCGATGAAATCACTTTGTGCACCTCACTGCTTCCACCACTACCTATCTTACCAAGACGCTGATAAAGCTTGCCATTAACTTTGAAAAACAAATCAGGGTCATAAGTCCTTTTTCGGGCAGCTGATGCACCTTTACTACTTGCAATCTTCTCTCGTTTTTCTACCTTAGAAGACTCCAACTTCACATCTGAAGATGTGGTTGTGATTGTCGGAAGTGGAGCCTGCGGTTGTATAGTGGCAATATCCACAGCCTCTTTCCCTTTGCCATCATCCCAAGAAGTATATTTAGAACTGCCAGATTCTTTCAACACCCCCCCTTGTTGCTCCTTAGGTCGATTACTCTCCTTAGAAGCCAATTCTGCACCACCAATACAAGAACCCGTAGCTTGGACTTCAGCTTCTGCCGCCCGCTCAACCAACACACTGTTAGTTTCTGTTTGGAAAACATTAACTGATTTCACAACACGTTCAGTCACAGGACGAGGATTAGCATTAACCTCAGCAGTCACATTCGAGCCACTGTCTAGATAAGAGTGAGAATATCGTGTTGTTGAATTCAACATAGGTGCCGAAGTTGAATGAACTGAGGTGGTTGTAGCACATGGAGGCCGCACGACCGAAGACTGCGTAGCTGGTTGAGTCAGAAAACTACTTAATTGTTGCAAATGATCCTGCTTAATGACACTTCTCTTTGGCAATACAGAACTCACTCCATTCTCACATCTCAGACTCGCGTCAAGGCCAGCCTGCTGAACATTATCCTTCTGGTTGCATCCAAGCAATGATGATGATGATGATGATGCTGATGATGTTTCAATTTGGTTGCCTTCAACCCACTCCATTTCTGCGAATCCAAGCGAACCCATATGAGACGATAAATTCTCCAACTCAGTGGAGGCCTTAGCATCTGCAAGTTAAAATATAAACATATCGCCGGAAATAACAGTGACGTGTTCAAAGTACACAAGGAGCATAATTTAATAAAAACTTTACCCCGCGCAGCAGAATGAGCTGAAGATTGGACTTTCTTCTGAGCGTCTAGGTTTTGGGAAGGGACGAGGGTGTTAAGTGAGACCTTGGAAGAAGCTTGTTCTTGAGAATTGGTGGGGTCGGAAGAAGATAACTTTCGTTGTGGAAGCAGCGTGCGCCTTGGCCTTATGCTATTGGACTGCATTGAGCCTGAAAAGGAGAAACCCTAGAAATGAGATTTGACTTGAATTGAGTGAGTGAGGAGTGAAAAGGCGATTAGGTACCCAGTGGTCGGTGTCGTTTCAAGGCGGCTTGAACGTGGCGGAGGAAGTCCGGGGAGGAGGAATCCGGGTTAGGCTTCCCATCCATGGAGCAGTCTCCACCGCATTTCTATTCGCTTCTCAATTCAATTCCCCAGACAACACCTATCATCAGATTGAAATTCAATTCTTTCTTTCGCGCTCCTCCTTCTCCTCCCTGGGCCCGCTCAACTCAACGCTCTTTTTCTCTGTCTTCAAACATGGGCTTTTAAACCAAACAAACTTGGGCCTATTCAAAGCCAGTCTTTAGTTTTATTGGGTTTAAACTTTTTCTTCCTGCACCTACCCCCATATTTTTTTAAATCAAATTCATATCTCTACGTTTTTTTCATTTGACTTGTTTAGTAATATATATTTTATACTAACGTTTCTTGAAAGTTTTAGGATTTAGAGTGTTTCCAAAATGTATTATTAATGACTCATTCTAAATATTATAAAAAATTATATAAGTTCCAGCATAAAGAACTTTTAAAAAAATATTTAAAGAATAAACTGTTTTAAAATAATAAACCTAGATAAAAAAAATTAATGTTTGGATTAATAATAATAATACATTATTATTAAATACACGCGAGAAATATGTTTTTATGCAATTCATGAAAGAGCAGTGAGGTTCAAAGCAGGGTGAGGGAGAATTAATGAATGTGATTTATAAAATATTCACGTACTAATATGATAGTGAATACCTAACATAAATTTCGCATGAGTGATATTATATTTGTTTTTTCTAAATACGGAGGTGCAAATGGAAAATATAAGATGCAATAAGCAAAAACCTAATATTAGGCTTATTGGGTAGTGGTCTCTATGAACATAAATAAACATGCATGTAGGTGGTGCATGTGTGGCAATTAAGAAAGTAGCTGAGATAGATATTGGAGCTGAGTTGTTGCTTTCGTCTTAAATTATTTACGGTTGTATTCCTCCATCTTGCATGTGATTTTATTCGAACCATGGTTTTCAAAACACATGGACCAGTTCCATTCATCATCATTTTGTTTAGTTAAAAATCATAGTTTAAAATTTATTCTTTACCTTGAAATCCATTGTCACCACATTTCTTTTTCTCATTTTCTTTTCTCTCTCTTCCTCCTCTTCACGGAATTTGAAAAAAAAAACATTCACTTAAACTACACAACTAAAATTTACTCTACCGGTTGAAAACTATTAGATCAGTTAACTTACTTACTAACCCATATTAATTAGAAATACTATTTTTATTTATTTTATTATTAATTATCTTTATTTCCTTATAATATTTTATATTAATTATTATTTTATGAATTATAAATTATTATATCTTAGTTTATTATTATCTTTTAAATATTATATAAAGAAATTTAATTAAGAAATAAACCCCATTTTATAACTTGTCTATTTCTTTTTTAAAGCTGACATAAGCATTGTAATACTGTTTGCAGGAAAACCTTTATGTTTTTTTTTTTTTTTTAAATTGATTTAAAGATCGGTTAACTGAATTCGTCTCCTTCTCTTATCCACCAACTCAATAAATGTTTTATCGAGACCATTTTCCGCTTAAAACGGTATATATTAAAAAAAAAATTAATAACGCAAATTCATATAATTTCTATAAATTTTTTTTTCTAATATTATAATAATAATTTTATTTTTATTAAATCATTTTATAAATTATTATATTAATAAAAATGAATTGTTTAACAATAATATAATTTTTGATTGTGAAAATATCATCACTCATATTAAAAAAAAGAAATGGTTAGAATTTGATATCACAATTGTTATCACTGTTTCGTTTAGCATTTATATAATTTTCTATTAATATCTCCGAAAATAGAAGTAGACTGACATGATTTGCGATTCGAGCTCTTGAAACCAAAGAGAATCTTTGGAGCTTCACCAACAATTGCTTCCCATGGACTCCTGCATTGAAATAACCAATTTTTTCTGACAACTTTATTTGAAGAGGATATAATCAAAGTTCAAAAAAATGTTAAAGTACTTTGAGCTTAGATTTGGAACCAATTTTTTCTTACAAAAATCTAGAATGATATTTATGAGGGAAATGATTAATAAAAAGATATATTAAGATATTAATTTGTATTGTAATTTAAGACAATAAGATGTATCTATTTGAAATATTTCTTATGAAAACGTAGAATTTATCAGGATCTAAGATTCTAATAATTTATTTTTAAATAATATAAAATAATAATAATGAACACCATTTATAAAATATGGATAACGGATTTAAATATATAAAACTAAAGAAAAACATATATTTTTTAAATATCTAATAATAATTTTAATAAAATTAGGAATTCACTTTTCCACTCTTTTATATATATATATATATATATATATATAGAGAGAGAGAGAGAGAGAGAGAGAGAGAGAGAGAGGTCTATTAGTCGTTGAAATTTATAACCTAAGATATGTCTACTCTATCATACTCACGAGTATAATACATTTTATTGTTGGCAGATGGAGAACTACATTGTCTTGAATGTTAATGACTGCATAAACATAATCTTATCTAATTAAGTTTCGTATTTTTTTTCTTTTGTGTATTATCTCTCTATATATATACTGTAAGAAAAAATTTCATTTTTCAAATATTGAGAACTATAAATTTGTGTTATACAATCATACATAATTAATGAAAACTAATCAGTAATCACATAATTACTTAATAAAATCATATAAAATTTTCTATTAATAATATAAATGATAGTAGTTTAGTATCATCGTTTTAGAAAAATTTACTTAATAAAACATTCATTTTTCAATAATACAAAATCAAAACTTCAACCAACTTTTCAATTTATGCAGCATCTTAAGTTTGAAGTTTGGAGTTTGAACCACTCAGTGGCCATCGATCAAATATCCTACTACATAGTTTGCCATATTTGGTGGTTCATTTGACAGTCGAGAGGACAAAAACAATCAAATAGCTGCTTCCCACAGATTTATGATCTGTCTGTTTTTCAAGGTTCTTTTATTGTCCTTCTCTGTTCATTACATCAAATTTCGTGCTTTCTTCTTTTACCTTGGAAAAGTTCTGGCATGCATTTGGAGTAACAATTTCTTTACTCCACCACGCATCTTAACCATTAATTTCTCCCTACCCTTTTCTGATTTCTTTAACCAATGGATGTGATGTGCTCTCAGATGCTACAGAAGCACACAAGAATTATTTTTTATCTTTGTGTGCCATAGCTTGAACTTTCTCTGATGCCCACAAGGGCCATTACAACACAAACTCAAAACCCTTTTTAAATTAAACATTTTTTGTACTATCTTGCGTTGCCCTTCTCCATTCAGATTTTAGGTTTTCAGTTTAAAAAATGTTAGTGCACTTTAACTGACATACTCACGTCACCTGTTAATTTAAAACGAGTAGAGATATTTTGAGAACTAGAATCAATTTTTTAATTAATTCATTTTTATTAATATAATAATATATAGAATGATTTTATAAAAATAAAATACAATTATTATTATAATATTAAAATAGATTTATTTAGAGGAGTGGAATGGATTTGGGTTGTGAAAATGTAATTTTTCATTTAAAATTTAAAAACACATGTGCCTCGTCGCTAGTATCTCTGTAATCTTTGTTCTCACGCCACACTCAAGTAACACATGAGAAAGTTCTTATATTATTGTCTTACTAAAAGAAGCAAAAATTAAAAGATGTATGTGACAAGCTACCATCAGTTTTCAGAACAAAGAGATTTTCATTCCCCCAGCGTAGTTTAAATCACAAGTTTAGTGAACAATGATTTTCTATATTACACTACAAACAAAGCCTTCACTAGGTGGTAGCTGAATTTTTGCACCCTTCACGTATCTATAAAAATATTATTTTAATGTAGGATTTGCAAGTATTGATTTTTTAAAATGGAAGAGAATTGTTTATATAAAAAATTATATTTAATTTTAAGAAATTTGTGTTCATAAAACTCATTAAAATAAATATTTTTATTGATAAGAAGCACTACTAAAAAAATTAATTAGAGATGTTCTAACCATAAATTCATGAACTTTACACAGCAACCACTATGCTTTTTTCTCTTTGCCATACAAATTATACAATGTTGAATGTTTATACATAACCAGTCTAGTTGGAATTGTACGAGTTTGCGGTTAAAATATATTTTTTTCAAAGTTTTTAGGGGAAATTACTGGTTTTTATGTTAATTAAAGTAACTGGCTTTATTCCATAACATATGGGGTTGCATGATTTTGAGGCAGAAAGGGAATCAAATAAGCAGCTTTTCCCTATTCAAGAGGTGCCATTATGGGGTAATTAGTGGAATACCTTGCAAATGGTGCAATGCGTATAGCCCGAAAAAGTCCACCTTCTTGGGCTTAGAATAACGACAAACCGTAATTAATTATCAACTCTCTCCCCATAAACTTGTGCTGGGTTGGGGTACGGAAGGAACCAGTTGCTACTCTTGAATGCATTTTCTAGCTGTGATGCTTAAATGATTTTTGTCCTATTCAGTAGTATTAATCAGTTATCTATTGGTAAATATATGTTCAGATGTGGTCTGTGTCAGCGGTTATGGGAGATTGATTTAGCCAAGGTTTGTGTCTCAAAGCCTAAACTAACATTTTCCGAGGTCAAAATGTTCACTCAATTATATTCCAATCATGTTGAGAAAGGGTTTCAGAAAGTTCATAAGCCATGACAGTTTCAACTTCCAAATACTGATGTGTTCAAGAATTGTGTTTGAACTCCTATTAGTCCTATTCACATAAATGGTTGATGGAAGAAATGTCTAGGTTATAAAATTGGCAAGTGATATCTCAATGCAGAGCAAAGACAACCTAGCGTTTACACCAACTTCAATGATGCATTGCATTATTATCTTAATTTTAGCAACAGCATGATCTGCTTTCTATTGAAACATGATGTTCTACTGGATAAAATAAGAATGAAATGGAATAATTTTTTATTAGCAGCAGAAAATGAATAAATTGCTGAGTACCTCCACCAGACAGCAGAAGAATGGAAATGAACATGTAGTTCTGCCAATGTTATTCAAGTTTTTTTTTAAGGGGGGGACCATTATATCAGCAAATAATACAAAAATGCAAATGTAAATTTCCTAGAATTTTCATGTGATGAATGGTTTGTGTTTCATATCTTTGCACTCATGACTAGAGCCAATTCATAATAACTACTCAGCAGGGACATTGGAAGCTGATAGCCCAAAAAGAGACAGAAAAACTAAAGGAAATTCGAAGAAATATATGTGGTGTATTTGCTTCAGAAGTATATATAGATAAGTTAGTTAAACTCAATTTTTCTGTGGCAGCAATTTAAGGTGTTTATTGAAGACTAATCTATCATCTAGATTAACCATGAAATCCAAGTAGTTTAGTCCCCGTGGGAATTAGGCAATAAAGATGGATAGTTATGATATTCACAAAATGTTTTCATCCAGAAGACAGGCACAGCATAAAAAGGCGGGGGGACCCGTATGCCAATACCCCCTTTACCTTTCCACTATTTAGAAAAATAAAAGGACTCTTCAATCTAGAAAAATCAACGGTGATAGATGCTCATCATAAAGTCATATATCTCCCTCGCAGGAAGAGAGCCATAGGTTGCTCAAAGCTTCAACCTTAAGAGCCCCACTTAACACTTCTAAGTCTTAGATGACTCAAATTCAGCATCCCGTTCTAGTTCCAACCTTGTTCTAAAAGCCATCATTTGGTAAGCTAAAGAAACTTCCATCCTTTTCACAATGAGCAAACCCAAAACCCAAAGGAAACCAACCATTACTACACATGTCAGCCAAAACCAAAACCAAGAGCCACAGAAAGCAGAGAAACAACCTTCATGGGTGGTAAGAGGCCTATTGGCTTGCAGGAATGTCCAAATCCAACAACATCAGCAGCAGCAGAAGGAAGCAAAACCACCCCCAGAAGCAAAAGAACAACACAGGAAAAAACAGGAACAGAGAAAGCTGCAAGAGGAACGAGTCCCGGAAGAAAACAGCAAGAAATGCAAGAAGATGAAATGTTCAGGTTCGCTTTGTAACAACACCAAGATCACGGCAAAACCTGACACATCAACCCCAGATGTCCACAAGAAAAGGTTGTCTCTAAATGGATGCAACAACAATGAAGCTTCCAGCAGATCCATGAAAGCACCTCTTACTGAACTCAATGGAACCGTGTCAGCTTCTTCTTCTTCATTATCAGCATCTTCTACTTCTTCTGGCGCTGGCTCTTTCAGGGGAATGCCATTCAGGAGACTTTCCGGTTGTTATGAGTGCAGAATGGTCGTAGACCCAGTTCTAGGCTTCACTAGAGACCCTTCTCTCAGGAGTAGCATTTGTTCTTGCCCTGACTGTGGTGAGATCATGAAAGCTGAAAGCTTGGAGCATCACCAGGCTGTCAAACATGCAGGTATCATATGATGTGACGCACTTTCAAGATTCATCAGAAGAAAATAAGCTTTTCTCTTCAATTTTACAGAAGTTCTCATTGTGTGTGGTTTCACATGTAAATGATTTTAAGAAACAGTTATAGTTTCGACATAGTAAGCATGATATATATCTCATTTAGTTTATTTCTTCAAAACTGATATTCATAGGTTAATTTTTATTTAGTTTGTTTTCTTTTCTTGTTTTCGTACAGAGAATTAATCCAGACATGTATCTGATATGATGTGATACATGATATGATGTTTGCTCGTTTATATGAACATCTTAACTGACATGTTGATGTGTTTTTCAACTTTATCATTTTTTATTTTAATGATGATACCAATGTACAATGACTTATTACATGTTTTGCCATTTTGTTTTTCTTGTTACCAATTTCAGTTTCTGAACTGGGTCCAGAAGACACCAGCAAGAACATAGTTGAAATAATATTCCATTCCAGCTGGCTGAAGAAGCAATCTCCAGTGTGCAAAATAGACCGCATCCTCAAGGTCCACAACACCCAGAAAACCATTACCAGATTCGAAGAGTACAGAGACTCCATAAAAGCCAAGGCCACGAAACTCCCTAAGAAACACCCACGTTGCATAGCAGATGGCAACGAGCTACTCAGGTTTCACTGCACCTCCTTCGCGTGTTCTCTAGGCCTAAACGGGTCTTCCAACTTGTGCAACTCAATACCACAGTGCAACGTGTGCAGCATAATCAAGCACGGGTTCAAGGTCACTGGAGGAACCGGTATCTTGACAACGGCAACGAGTGGGAAGGCTCACGACAAGGCGTGTGTGGACAAGAGTGAGGAGAAGAGGGCAATGCTGGTTTGTCGGGTGATAGCAGGAAGGGTGAAGAAGAATGCAGAAGGTGGCATGGAGGAGTATGATTCGGTTGCAGGGGCTGTTGGGGCTTATTCTAATTTGGATGAGTTGATCGTGTTCAACTCAAGAGCTATTTTGCCTTGCTTTGTTGTAATCTATAGTGGCTTTTGATGATATGTGGTGTTGAATTGGGGGTGAGTGAGGTGATAATTTCGTTTCATATATCAGTTCCTTTGCTTTGTTAGCTCTTTTCAAGTTCTAGCATGATCTAGTTGATTATTTCTTGGTGCTTTGTGGGGGGAGTATAGATCGGTCTCAGATCATTTTTGTATGTTTTGGTTGGTATCACTGACTCTCCAATCCATGGCAGATTTAATCAACGACTGTATATTACTACAACAATTATATATTAACCGCTTAATAAGCCTTTATATTTGTCTGTAGATTTAGGTAAGTTATGACTTTTGTCTTATTTATTGTTTTTATATTTCAGAAGACTGTTACAAGAAGTGGCTTTACTTTATCCATTCAATGCATATAAGGACAGAACCTATAAATCTTACATGCCCCATCAAATTGCTTTACTTATAAGGTTAACAATTTGACCCCATCAAAAAACTCATTTTCTGAAACAGTGAAATGGGAAATCTAAGTAGAAAGATATCTTACTGAGAAAATTCAGCATTGTCTAAATCGATTATTATTTTTTTAATAATCTCATTGCAGCATGAGGGGAGGTCAACAATCTTCTATAGCCTCAACGCTCGATTTCTCCAACGATAATAAAACAAACGGTCTGAAATTGAAAGAAAAAAGACATGAGAGACAATATGCTTGAAAGTCCCGAATTATTCTTGTGAACTTTACATAAACGGTCTTGGCATTCGTCTATCTTTATATATTTTTGTGAACTTTACATAAAGGTAAGCAAGTAGAAAGCATTTTATAATTTAAACCGTTACTGCAGAAAAGGTTGCTTACATCTACCACTCTCATATCTCACTCAGTGGAAGCCCATATAATAAATGCTTTATTTTAGTGCAGAAAACAATGGTCAGGGTCAAAGGTCAGGTCTCTACCAAGAAAAAACAGGTCAATGCAACAATGGCGAACACACTCCAAAGACAAAGGGCACTCCTGAAATAAGTTTACATAAAAACTTGGGGCAGCTGTTCTAATTGCTTATTTTTTAAAACCACATTTATTTTGGCTTATTGTTTTGTCGAAGTACTTATGTTTCTCTTTAAGTTGAATTCTATTACACTTCGTAATTCTTATTATAGCTCGATATACGTAGAAACTTTTTTAAGTGCGCTATTACAGTACTATTTATGTTAATGGAACTGAAGTCCTTCACACAGACACTCACATGTAAGGAGAACAATAAAGAAATAAGACCGAGGAATAGAAACTCCCATGACATCAGCTAAGAGCAAGTAAGTCCTTTACATACGGTCGCGCGTGTGATCTAAATTTGTATTTTTTTATTAGAGATATGGATTTGTGTGGTGTAGTGCGTTTCCATCGAATCCGGAACAAGTAGACTCTTCTTTTGTACTCATTGTATTATGATCAAGATCGCATTGGCCTTTGTTACACAAATTTAAACAACTCGTCATGGGCTTAACAATCAATCACCTAACCACCAATGTCAAGATAATTGCGAATATTATAATTAAAAGCTGTATTCTTTGATGCACTAAGCTTTGACACTTATCATAAGCCACGTTATGATGTAGCTACCTGGTCCATGCAACGCTTGTAGCTAAAGAGTCTGATAGAGTTTGATTTACTCGTTACTGCAGAGTGACCAGTGACCACTCAGCTCTTTTTGATAGCAAACAAAATATGGCGCGAAAAGTGTGGCAGAAAAGCATTTTGGCGTGGTAGTTTCGCGGTAATTTTTGCAGAGGTTCCTGGTTATTGGAAACTGTGAAGGAATCAAAACTTGACATGCCATGCTTGTTAAGAACGAAACAAAAATAAAAGCTAGAAGGAAGTCAGAAAAAAGTGAGTCGGGAGACAAAAGTGGGTGCAATGATTGAGAAGGAAATAAACATGGCACGAGAATAAATTCCGTAGAAGACTTCAAAAAATAAAATCCATGTAAGACATTGTCACAGTGCCTGCCACTAGCATGCACTGGAGACTTTACTCAGCAATGACTCGGCCTTATGCAGGAAGCTTACAGTGAGTGATGATGAGAAGGTGGGGTTCACCATTTAATCTTCTCTTCTGCTAATAGGACCTACCCGTCTCCCCAGAGTTAGCTAGTGCTTATGATGGGTCAGGTTCATATGGTTTGGACAGTACTGCTGCCCTTGCTGACTGGATCACAAGAACACACTGGTCTCCTAATTTAGGTGCCCCAACCTATTCAAGCTAGTAACTCATACCAAGCAGCCTCAACTCATCACGGAGGTTTGGAAAGATCAAATTGGTCCATGAAATAGTTCCATCAGGGCCAAGCCTAATACATAACATGGAAACATTAATGATCTTCAAGGGCCAAAAACGTGATGTAAAAGACAATAGTAAGAAAATTTGCGGAATTAAAATTGTTAAGAATCAAACATTGAGCAGCATTTTATTTTTTTACCCTCGGATCAGGGAGTTAGAATTCGCTTTCCCTCTGATAACATAATCCATAAAGTGGTAGACATAGCTTGGGAGATTCTTGTCCACCTCCAACATATTATCGCTGCTGCTTAGTGGTGTCTCAATCTGTTCTTACTCGGGCAATAGGACAGAACGAGAAAAGACAAAAAGAATGAGAAAGAGATGATGTTAATCCGCAGTGGCATTTCCAAATTACATAACGATTCACTCAAGATAAATCAACGCCACGCCAAATGTATCTTCAACTTACTGTCGGAGAGACAACCTAAAAACTTAAAAATTGTCATTAAAATCCAGGGAATTATCATGCAGCATACTACATATCTTTTTATCTATCTACTTTAGAAGATGATACATATTTATATATATTAAAAATTGTAATTAGTATTCACATTTATTTTAAAATTATTTTAACTTCCTAAATAGGCAGATAAACAGAGACAAAATTTTATTTCAAAAATGGACAAATGAAAAGAAAAGGAGTATACCAAAACCAGTAGTCAAACCAAACCATTTTCTTTGATAATCATTTATTCATTTTTATTATCAACTTTTTTTGTCTGTATTGTAATCATAATCTAAAATCTCTCTTAGATTTATTTATTAAGAGAATTAGCTGTAAAGAGAAAATAATTTATTACACTTAAAATGAAAAATGTTAGCAACACACTCTTCATTATTAATCCATTCTTTAGAATTCAACACTCTGTAAAAAAGGGACTGGTTTATTAATTAATTGCTGTTTTAGATAATTAACAAATAATAAATTAGAAATCCATAGCACTATAATAATATAGGCCAATCTTACCGTACGCGGAACATGTCAAGCTGCTAAACCGTGCTAAAAGATGAGCTGAGACCTGAATCCTGATAACTTCTGCAAAACAGCAATGGATATTGCAAAAAAAATTCAAAAAAGGTTTGCTTAATTACAATATTAGTGTACAAAATGTTCAGCAAATTTAATTATTAGATAAAAAGGCACTAATATAACTATTAGAACTACACAAAATTTTCAGACGCTTACCATTTTATCCAAATTTGAATTTCTTAAATGAGTGCTTATTATCAAATATGTGTTTGATTGAATTAGTATATGGTATAAACGATTAATTATGTTGTAGTTAATATAAAACTGAAATTGATTAATCAAAACTAAATATAATTAAAATTAATACTTACAAGTGCTATTGTTTACCTTTTTAATTTGTACCGTTTTGTGGGGGAAGGCAACATTGAATGTGTGAAACCTCATGGCAATAGCAAGTATTCAAAAGCATATCTGATTTAACTGCTGCTTACGTTATACTTGATTTGTATTCTTTTTGTAGTACTTCTAGTATCTTCCATCCAAATGTCCTTTAAAATTTGTCATTTCTGTGCTTTTACCTTCTAATTGAACTAACAGTCACCAAAACGTAAAGGTTGTCTTTCACCCTACAAAGTCCAGTCACGTAACATTCCATATAAGTTAGAACAATCAGTGATTTGTCTCGAAATATCTTGTGAGGAATTAAGCTAGCTGAACCAAGTCATTCACATAACCAGCTTTTTTCTCAACCAAAGATCTCGATCCAGCTTTTTCCAGCTCCTTTTATACCTAATTTTTTGACAGATTCTCGTACTTTGCTTAAGTTATCCCACATTCCAAGTGATGCATAAACATTTGACAGCATTATATATACAGAAACATCTTCAGGTGAGGTAGCAAGAAGATGCTCAGCAACAATATTTGCTAAATGTCGATTCTTGTAAGTTCCACAGGCACCAAGCAAGGAGCACCATATGATTTTGTCAGGCTTAAATGGCATGTGATTAATCAAGTTTCTTGCTTCTTTAAAACGTCCTGCTTGAGCAAATATATCAACCATACAATTGTAATGTTCAGGGCACGGTATCAATCCATGCTCTGTTTCTATAGACTTAAATATAGTCCATGCCTCTTCAACTAGGCCTGCATGTCTACATGCAGTAAGAACACCTAGAATGGTGACTTCATTTGGATCTGTACCTGATTCAGTCATCTTATGCAGAAGACTAATTGCCTTGTCTGCTCTTCCATTTTGTGCACATCCCACAATAATCCCAGTCCAACTCAAGGTATCTACTTCGGAAAGACAATGAAATAAAGCTAAGGCATCCTCAATCTCACCACATTTTGCATACATATCAGTCAGGGCAGTTGTAATAACTCTCTCTGATTCATACCCCTTCTTAAGAGAGAACGAATGAATTTGCTTGCCACTTTGAAGAGATGCCAAACTTGAAGAAACTTTCAGAACAATTGAAAAGACAAAATGGTCAATCTCAATATCCAAATGAACCATATCCATAAAAAGGGAAAATGCTAATGTACCTAGACCAAATCTAGCACAACCAACAATCAAACTAGACCAAGCCACGACATCTTTATCTGGCAACCTTTCAAACAATCTTAATGCATTGTTAATATTGCCCTGTTTAACATATAGATCGATAAGAATGCTTCCAACCACATAGTCTAACTCATAGCCACCAGCGATGACCAAGCCATGCACTTGAGATGCCAACCTCAAGTTATCAAAATGGATGCATACCTTTAAAGCAACACTAAAGGTATAGGGATCAAACTGTGCACCATAATGATGCATACGAGCAATCATACTGAGAGCCTTCCACCAATCTCCATTGGAAACAAACCCTGAAAGCATGGAATTCCATACTGCCAAGCTTTCAGCAACAGGAGCGTTCTTATCAAATATCTTCATCGCTTCATCCAATAGCTTGCAATTCGAATACATATCAATCAATGCTGATATACAATAATAGCTACACTCAAACCCTGACTTGATAATACAACAATGAATCTGCCTCCCCATGGTTATCTTGCCAAGAAGACTACACGCTTTGAGGGCACATGGGAATGTGAATGAATCAAGTTTAAGGCCCTTCATGTGCATCACAAAAACAAATTGCAATGCATGGAAGCTAGAATTATCTGCAAGACCAGCAATGATGCTGTTCCAAGACACAAGGTCTGGTTCTGGCATTTGATCAAATATATCCAACGCATCCCTCATCAAACCCTGCTTCGCATGCCCAAGAATGAGGGTGTTCCATGAAGTAGAATTTTTACACGGGATGTCATAGAAAACTCGTTTTGCATCACCCAAGCTTCCACATTTGACGTACATGTCCAAGAGGGCATTCATCAGAACAGTGTCATACTCTAACCTAGCCTGATAAACACGTTGATGAACCAACTTGCCCAACTCAACATCACCCGCGACGCCACATGCCTTGAGAACCGCAGAGTACAAGAACTGATTGGGTTGCACAGTTTTGTATTCCAGCATGTGGGTGTAGAGTGTGAGAGCCTCTTGGGGTCTCCCGGCATTGGTGAAAGCAGAGACCATTGTTGTGTAAGAAATTATGTTCCTGTGAGGCATATCATCGAAAAGGGTTCGTGCATCGTCCAAATGGGAGCATTTTGCGTAGACAGAAATAATTTTGTTTAGGAGAAAAACGTGATTGAAAAGGCCAAGCTTTATAATGTGAGAATGGAGTGATTTAGCATGTTTGATAGCTTGAAAGCGTTCACAACAGCGTAAAGCTAACTGGATTTGGTTCATATCCATTGCTTAACCATTGTGCAGTTCATTACCAGTATTTTCGCTATTTTTATACTGATTTTTTTTTGACAGCTAGGGAATTTGTGAAGAATGGTAGAATAGTGTGAAGATATATGAACATTTTTTATATTGAAAAAAAAAAATTCCCACTGTCAAGGATGTAATTTCATTTTACATAAAAGTTTGGACTAAGAGTCAGTCAAAATATGATTAAGTCCTTTGTCTTTTTATTAAAAAAATATAGCATTTTGATATTAATTTTTTTTCAACTTTTCTAGAAGCAATTTTATTTAACTATTGTAACATTTAGCAAATAACTAGTCCAACTATTTGACTTTGTAAGAGTGAAAATAAAACAATTCATTTTGGGCAATTTCTTTCATCCTTGGTCTTTGATACATATTTTTTAAAGCATTAAATATTTTTTACTTCTATTAATACAATACAAATTTATTTTAGGGCAAAAAAAAACAACACCTTCATAATTTTTAAAGAAATAACACTTTTACTCTTGCAAAAATGTCAATTAATATGAGAACATAAAATATAAAGATACAAAGTGTTGAAGTATGACAAAATCTTAAAATGAAAATTTCATCCAAATGTTAGTTATAACATTGAATTTATTATTAAACCAGAAATAGACATTAATCATCTTAAGGTTAAATGGGTTCTAAATAAAATTATTTGTGATAATAATGGTTGATATTATTGATGTTGTTAAGACAATACTAGTTGATATTTTACATTATCTTAATCTTATTTTGAGCAATGAAAAAAAAATCTTTTAGTGAGACAAATAGTTTATGATTAGCTAAAATATTATATTATAATTGTTTATAAAAAAAAATTATACATGCTGAAATGGTTTGTAATATCAAACAATAATTTATCATCATTCACAAGTCTCTTTTTATAATTATATAAGGTTGTTTATATTCTTATAACTCTATATTTTAGTGATTATACATATTTCTTCCCATCATATTAAAATACGTTTAAATATTTTTACGCTGGTTACGGATTAGTGGTTTGACTTTCCCTTATGTGTAATTAGTCGATGTGCACTTGTTAAACTTTTATTGGATGTGATTGGTGTATTTGCGAAAGACACTTCGTCATTCACTCAAATCAATGAACATATCCATTGGTGGAAAGAAGACTAGGGAGGGTCACAGTCCCACCAGAAAAAAATCTTTAAATTTTATTAAGAAAATATATTATGACCCCCTAAAAAATTATTTGTTTGAACTAGTTATTTTCAAACTAATTTTCTGATTCTACCTCAGAGTACACCAATAAAAATGTGTAGTAAAAAAGAAATTTGAATCATACTTTGTCATCTTCATCTTTTATAATATCATGTATCAGCTATCTTCCTGAACCTTGATCTTTTGGTGTTTTTGTTTTAGTCGTACTAGTGACGGAACAAGACATTTTCATTAAGGGAACCAAATTGAATAATATATATAAATGTATATTACAAAATTATTAAAAATTATAAATTATTTATTATATTAACATGGAATAAATATATATAAGATTAAGTATTTTTTTAATTATATTTAAAATATTTTATATTATATTGCTTAATAATATTGAACATTAAAGTTTATTTTATTATATATAATTTGAATTGAATATATAATTTTTTTCACATCTATCTCTAAAATTTGTAATATACTTTAATTAAAAGAAGAAAATTAAAAAGAGGAAGAGAGACAAAACCAGCTTTTCCTTCTCCTTCGTGTGAAGAAAAAACCCCTCTCCATAGCTCACCTCCATCTTCTCTCCTGTAGATCATGACCTTCTTTTTTCCCGATCAAGAATCTGATGTTACTGTTGTGTTCACAACGGAGAACAGTAGAAGATTCACTGATTAGAATTTCGTTTCGGTAAGTTTGAACTTTAGGGTTTTGCGAGTTAAAATTTGGGGTTTTGAGAATTTAAGGAATTATTTGTGGAATTAAAATGTTTCATCTTACTCCGTCACTCCCCAATTTTATGTTCTCAAGGTTAATTATGTTTCTCGCTTCAATCTCATTTTTAGGGTTTTCCAAATTGGGGGAGAATGATACTTTTTAGGTGTTTTGGCGTTTTTAAGACTTTGTTGGAGTTAGGTTGACATGTAGCATCACCCATGGGTAGGGTAAGCTTTTTTAATTTTTACTTGTGTTGAAACTTTAGGTTTTGTTAATCCTTTCATTGATGGTGAGTGGAGATTTTAGAATTTGAAGTGAACCATTAACTTTAGTTGTTTTAGATATAAATTAAGAGTTGGTGTTGTCCTGATAAGCTAGTTAGATGGTGCTTAAAACTGATTTAGTAAGGCATATGGTTGAGTGAGTATAATAACTGATTTTCCTTACTGACTGTATTGTATTGATGAAAAATTAAATTAAGTGAATAATGAGTATGCTTGTGATATATATATATATATATATATATATATATATATATATATATATATATATATATATATATATATATATATATATATATATATATAAGAGTTGTATGTGATATGATATTATGAGCACTTGTGGAAAACCTTGATGTGTAAACTGTTTTGAAATAGATTGACTGAAATAAATATCTTTGTATCATTGAGTTTCTAAACTGTATGATTGGTCTGTATTGGTTTGAAGGAAAAATGATGTACCGTTTTAAGTGAATTGTGATTACATAGGAGTTCAGAATTTTAATGTTGGGCTGGACATATTGAACTGCATGATATTGGTTTGATTATTGAAATTTTGAGTTGTACTAGCTGTGTTCTGCTGAAATACTGTATCTGCATGATATGACTCTGCAAGGTGTAATCGATTACAGTGATGTGGTAATCAATTACTGACGAGGGAATTAGAAATCCAATTTCTCTCTGGTAATCGATTACCAGAGTAGTTATAATTGATTACACTAACAACAGGTCACCCACAGTTGGTTTATTGATGTTCTGTTGCATCATTTGATTATTCTATGTTGAATATAAGTTAATAATGAAATGTGAAGGCACTAAAACATGATAATGTGAGAATACAGATTGTAAGACCAAAAGGAAAATTATGATAGTTGTTGAATGATAGACTTGATGTACTGTGTAAAATAGTGTGTATGAAATTATGGATAGGCGTACTAGGGCATCCAGACTTCCACGATGTTCCTAGTCATATAGACGAAGACATCTATGGTGGGAAGTCGATGAAGACACAAGATAGCGTCAATCCTATGCGTGTGTTGCTCTGATGAGAGGTTGAAAAAAAGATATTATAGGTCTGGGGACATAAAAATTTAAGGGTCTGAGACCCCAAATATTCCTCATCAGGTATCTGCCTTACTAGTCTAAATTCCATATAGTTTTCTGGAAAGCGTCAGTCTTGTTGTGTGGTTGTGATTGTAGGATGCTAGACTCTCCAGTGAGTCTAACCTTAGGATGTTTGTGAATGAATAAGTGTCATTTGCAATGTTGCACTATTCTACATGTTTAATCAAATGGTAGTTTACCCTTACTTTTGTTGTGTGCTTGATCTTTTGGGATCCTCCTATGATCGTGTTATACATGTGAACAGATTCCAAATCTTCTGCAGGTGGTAGTAAGACCCAATGACTTGAGAAATGGAGTAGAGAACTCCTAGATTTGAAGGAGTTATTTTGTGCTATATAATTATGCGTAAAACATTAGTGTAATTATGACTTTTGATGTGTGATGTTTTTCAACTATTCTGGATGACTGTAAATTAAACTATTGTACCTCTCATAGGTGAAAAAGTTATTTCCTTCCTTCCTTTTGTGAAAATTTTAAGTAGAATTTGTGGATTATTACAAATTGGTATTAGAGTGGTAATTTCTAAGAAACCTTAGGGTTATGGACCTGCTATGCTGATTGCGTGTAGACTTAAAATAGTTGTAGTACATTATAGAATGATAATTCTTGCTTTCTTCTGATGTCTTGGATGGCTCCTAGACCACCTCCTCAACTTCAGTCTCAACCCCAGTCTGAGGTGAGCCAAATACTAAGAGTCATTGAAGTAATGACCGCTTCCATGTAACAACAAGAAGTAGTAATGGCAGGCACCAGGCTGCTATGCAAGAATTGCAAGCATCAAGGGAGGTCATTGCAGTTGCAGTAGCAGCAACAACTTCTAACCTCACTCCAGCTTCCTCCTCCAGTCAGCCATAAGGGCAGGCAGTGTTGGCTGGCTTCTTGAAGCACGGGCCGCCTAAGTTTTCAAGAGATTCTACCCCAGATTAGGCGGATATATGGATGGAAGGGATAGAGAAGATCTTCAATGTTATGGAGTGTCATGAGGATAAGAAGGTTACTTTTGTTGTATACCTGTTAGCAGGGGAGGCTGAATTTTGGTGGAAAGGGACCAAGTGACTGATGATTGCAAGAGACTAAGCTATCAGTTGGGAAAGCTTCAGAGAGAAGTTCATGGGAAAGTATTTCCCACGCAGTGCACGATTTGCTAAGGAGGCGGAATTTCTGAAGCTAGAACAGGGAGATTTATCAGTGCATGAGTATGCTACCAGATTTGAGCACCTGACCAAATACTATTCTCAATCGAGCATTGAGGCATGACTATGCAGCAAATTTGAGGAGGGTCTGAGACAAGAACTGAAGGAGTTTGTGGTGCTGACTTTCCTGTTTTGGTTAAGAGGGTTAAGACTGCAGAGAGATTGGTGGCCGGTAAAGCCAAGCCAGTTGTACCACTGGTATCTGGGCCCTCAGACAGCAGAGTGGGGTCCATTCCTGCAGTAAGAGGCCGGAGAGGAGGACCCCGTATGCCCGCCCTTTTCCCAGGAGGGAATCTGCTCCTACTTCTCTCCAGTTAGGTGGTAGCAGTCAGTTTAGAGGAAGGACCTTACCTTCCAGCATCAGAAGACCCGAGGTCCTATTAAATGCTACAAGTACCAGAAGTTGGGGCATTTTGCCAGAGACTGTAGAGAGGATTTGTCAGTAGCTCCATCTGGGAGCCAGTAGACTGGAGGCCAGAGAAGGGAGA